ATTGACGATATACGATTAACAAAACCATTTTTGCAAATAGGCCCTATTAACTTTTGGAAAGGAAACATAGAACACTAATATTAGTCTGAGATTAGGAACTTAAAATTAAAGAAAGAAATTAAATTACATTTGAAATAATTACTTATACATTAAAAAAATATTAAGTCAAGGAAGGCCCTATTAACAATTGACTGAATACTCCCTTTATGATCGTATTTTCTAATTTAAATAATAAATATATTATAATATTTATAACAAGTGATAAGCTTTGTATACTCATTTTGCCAATGATTACAATTTTGCTCATTTTTCCAGTACTGTCTACAGTGACGATACGCCGATTCATTTAATGTTTGTTTTGTATAGGCCTACAAGCTGTATAACTTGTTTAATGTGACGGTACTGTTTCATTGCGTGTTTATGTTTATAATAATAAACCGATTACTCACATGTTTATGATACCATTTACTTGATAAATTATAATTTAAATATTGTTTATAGTATAACATTTATTAACGAGGTTGGGATAAAATGTAAACATGTTGCAAATGGTTGGATTTAGTAATGAATTGTTTAATTGGTCATGTATCTACTGTTCTTTCAGTCTTAGCTCTATTTTTTCACCAAGAATAACGTAATTTAATTTGAGGAGAACTCCACACCTAAAAAAACTTGCGCCCCCCCCCCCACTCACAATGAAAATTACCAAGCAAAATATTAAGTTCAAGTAGTTAAAAATCACCTTATTTGCTAATTCCCCTCATTACCGAGAACCCCACTTAAGCTTCGCCCCACTCCCCACCTTCCCACACCACTCTTCAAACTAGACGCCACAGATTTTGAACCAAGGGATAAAAACCTACCAGATGTACGAAGGGCACGAAGTAGCCAAACAAACTGACCGGCGTTGCTATTGCCCAAACCAAGAAGTCTCGAACTCGCCAAATAGTGCAATCAATCTTTCTTCTTGTTCTAGGTCTTTTTGAGTCCGAAATCTCTGTCGATTGTTCGTTTACATTAAGCGGTGTATACACGCATGCACAAGGAATTAAGACGGATACCAACAGTCCGAGAAATTGCAAGGTTCTTTGTAATCCATATTTATCCTGGATCGTTCGCATTACCATTGGTAAAACAATAGTGAATATCGCACTTCCGGTAGTAACTAATCCGTTGACAAGTCCCATTTTCTTCTTAAAATAATGGCTAAGAATTACAAGTGAAGGCGTATAGGCAAGCGAAAAACCAGTACCCATAATGAAACCATAAGTAATGTACATGCCACCGATTTTGGTGGCGAAAGAGCTAGTAAAAACTCCAATGGTAGCAAGAACACCGCCGACAAGACCTGTCTTGCGACAACCGAATATATCTGTCAATGTACTTGCTACTGGTGACAAGCAGAACGTCAAACCAATGGAAACAGACCCAATTAAAGCTGGAAGAAAGAAAAATAAAAGAATTAGAATGATACTTTAAGTTTGGTGGCAATAATCTATGTCACAGGCCAACATGTTTAAATAAAACAACGACAATAGGTGCGCTGTGCGTCCGTGAAATAATTTTTTTTATTGTATTTTAATGTTGGAGCAATCAATCTATCTGATACGTAGTCCCTAACTTTTTAAAGTGATACTGAGGCTACTGGATAATAGATACAAACCGGTATATATTTAATAAATAGTATTTTTTAAATGCCAATGACAGGTCTATTTGATTTGTATTTTTTTTAAATAATTTACATGTTTCTGAAGAACGTGACAAAAGGAATAATAATATTACATAAGCCTACATATAATACAATAGGCCT